CCCCAGGGCGCTGTGTCTTATAGAGTGCTCGATTGACCGACTAAGACGAGAGCTGAAACGTATTTCGTTGTGTGTGTCTTATTTGACTGTAAAGCTTAAGTGACTTTCCCGATCCCGTACCTCAAGGGGACGAGATATAGAGACGAGATTTCCCCCTGGCAAGTGTGGAGAACCCGAGAGAAGAGTATTTAACCCCTGATACGTGGTGTGAGAACCCTGGGCATTGCGTCTTACGCATATTGACATCCTGTGAAGAGAAGTGAAATGGCGAAGGTGTGTCTTTCTTGCGAACCGAACTAACAGCTCCATGGCAGAGACGACTCAGAAACCGCGCTTGACGACTAACGACTTTACCAGTATGGCATCGATGTACAACGCTGAAGAGATGAAGACTTCAGAACCCCTTCGGAAGGACGAGTATCGTATAGGACAGTATAATTAAGAATTGAGCGACATTAAAGACAAGATGAAGAAAAAGAACGACCCGGACTAACGCGACGAAAGAAGAAGACGCTTATAGACTTTGATTAGAACTTTAGCTACCTGTGTATTGCTTAGAGAACCGCTCGTTGGACACTGTAACGGCACTGTAACTCAGGACGTTGAACTCTTTTCCACAATCCTAACCCTATTGCTCAGTAATGTAATGTATTGCTTGTTTTTCCTATCGTTTTTATCTTTTTTTTTGTGGTGTTGAATTGTATGTTATGTAAGCGCCCAGATCTTTGTTTCGAACTGATATTTAGTGACGTGCGAGGTCCTTTATAACGATTTAAGCGCGCCTCAGTGGACAAGTATTTGCAACACAGTGTTATGAGTTTTGTGAAGTTTTATGGAGTTTTAATGAGTTTATGAGTACGGATTATAATGGGAGGAATGATGCCCCCACGTGTTTTTTTTCAGAGTTTTGAGATTTGTCGAGTACAGAGATACCGACGTTTAAGAGTTGTTTTTGTTTACGTGTTGTTTTCCAGAATACTTCTGACGCTTTTCGAGTTGATAGCACCTTTGTAACGTTTTTTAATGTCTTTTGGGGGATGAGAGTTTGGTGCGCTTATATATGTATTGTTTGATAACGCAAGCTTTTGTTCATGATTGACAGGCTTATATGTAACTCAGTAGTTTCTATCGTTTTGTCTTTTTCCCGTCTTTTTTGCCAGAGGAGTAATGTGTTATGATAGCTTTGTCTTTGCATTCTGTTTCCACGCCGTATGACTTGTGTTTAGATTAACGACTTTTGAGTTCAGTTAAAGTTTATAAGCGTATGTGACAGGAGTTTGATTAATAGCTTGTTATTCATTGTTTATTAGTTACCGCTTTGCAATGCTTTAACCGAGAGACGCATCCCTGGTAATCACGTGATCATGCTGTCGACTGCAGCGATTGGCTGATCGCTTGGTTACACCGCCACGCCTTAGTTTTTTTGACCTTCTGATAAAGAGTTTGTAACCTTAGTAACGGAGACAGTGCAGCGATGGGTTACCTCAGCGAACCGTTTGAGAAAAGTGAGT